CCTATATAGGATCCGAACCCGCGGCGGGAGCGCTGCTGTGCTCCCAGCGCCGCACTCTCCCGAGTGCGCCACGGGCTTGGCCCGCATGTATGACTTTTTAAGTTAAAGAACTAAATAACTTTTTACAATTAAAAATAAATGCCATATAGATGATTGTGAGGCACATCCCTGGATCAGAACCAAGGCTATTTTACAACTATTCACATGCATGACTTTCATTTCCTCTGCTAGACCAGAGATTCCTGGATGGCAGGGCCTTTATTCCCACAGTGTCTTGTATACAACATGTGCTTAATAAAAGCTATTGAGTGAACACTCCTGAAAAATGCTATGAGCAAAGGTAAGGATCTGGAAGAGCAAAAGGCAGACAAAGCAATGTGATCGATGTGGCTAGATCAGAATCTGGGTGTCTACCTGACTTTAAACTATACTACAAAGCTATAATAACCAAAACAGCATGGTATTGGTATAATAACAGAGACTCTGATCAATGGAATAGAATAGAGCACCCTGAAATCAACCCACGCACTTACTGCCATTTGATCTTCGACAAAGGCATTAAGTCTATTCACTGGGGTCGGGACTCCCTCTTCAGCAAAGGGTGCTGGGATAACTGGTTATCCATTTGCAGGAGATTGAAACTAGACCCACATCTCTCACCATTTACTAAAATCAACTCAAAATGGATTAAGGATTTAAATATACACCCTGAAACAATAAAACTTATTAAAGAAAATATAGGAGAAACCCTTCAGCAAATAGGGCTGGGCACAGACTTCATGAATATGACCCCAAAAGCATGGGCAACCAAAGGAAAAATAAACAAATGGGACTATATCAAACTGAAAAGTTTCTGCACAGCAAAAGAAACAATTAACAGAGCTAAAAGACAGCCAACAGAGTGGGAGAAAATATTTGCAAAATACATATCTGACAAAGGACTAATATCCAGAATATATAAGGAACTCAAACAACTTTACAAGGAAAAAACAAGCAACCCAATTAAAAAATGGGCAAAAGAGCTAAGTAGGCATTTCTCTAAAGAAGATATGCAAATGGCCAACAGTCATATGAAAAAATGCTCAACATCACTCAGCATCCGGGAAATGCAAATCAAAACCACACTGAGATACCATCTCACCCCAGTTAGGATGGCTAAAATCCAAAAGACGCTGAACGATAAATGCTGGTGTGGTTGCGGAGAAAAAGGAACTCTCTTACATTGTTGGTGGGAATGCATAATGGTGCAACCCCTATGGAAAATGGTTTGGAGGTTCCTCAAACAGTTGCAGATTGATCTACCATATGACCCAGCTATTTCACTGCTGGGAATATATCCAAAGGAATGGAAATCATCAAGTCGAAGGTATACTTGTTTCCCAATGTTCATTGCAGCACTCTTCACAATAGCCAAGAGCTGGAATCAGCCCAAATGTCCATCATCGGATGAGTGGATACGGAAAATGTGGTATATCTACACAATGGAATACTACTCAGCTATAAAAACGAATGAAATACTGCCATTTGCAACAACATGGATGGACCTTGAGAGAATTATATTAAGTGAAACAAGTCAGGCATAGAAAGAGAAATACCACATGTTCTCACTTATTGGTGGGAGATAAAAATAAATTCACACACACACACAAAAGAAAAAAAACTGGGGGGCAGAAGACATAACAATTACAATTCCTTGAAGTTGACATGACAAGCAAACAGAAAAGACATTGTTGGGGGGAGGGGGGAGAGGGAGGAGGGAGGGAGGTTTCAGTAATGGGCCACAATAATCAACCACATTGTATATCGACAAAATAAAATTAAAAAAAAAAAAAAAGAATCTGGGTGGGAGGCAACTGATGTTACGCTGGAAAGCAGATGGCAACTGCCCTGCAGCAAAGTTTGATGACCACATCCTTGAGAAATGTGGAGGTGCTGAAGAGCGTCAAGCAAGGGAGTCTTAGAAAAAATACTCTATTGAGTAGCATGAAATGTGGATAAAAACAGGAGAGGGGAGGGAGGGTGATCAGTTAGGAGACCCAAAGGGCTCACTGCCAGACCTTGATATGGAAATCCACAGGAAGCGTCCTGGAACCCACCAACCGCTTCATGAGGTAGCCCTTCCAGTCAGTGAACTTGGCATGGATGGCTGCAGAGACACCAGCAGAATCCTGGTTACACAGACTGACAACAGGGGCACAAGGGCTGACACAGAGATCAGCAGAGGGGATTGAACATTTACTTCCACTTCTTCAGGCCAGCAATAACCTCATCTCATAAAACGAGGCTCGGCAACTTGGATCTGCTCCAGGGCCTCTGGGACGGGGAGGGCAGGAAGCAAGGGGGCAAGTGGGTTCTGTTCTAACATAAGAAAGAGGGCTCCCCTCTACCTAACACAAGACAGAAGCCCCCCCTCCCACCTAACACAAGACAGAGGGATCTCCCTCCACCTAACAAGATAGAGGGCCTCCCCTTACCTAACACGACATGAACACAGAGTGCCCCCTCCACCTAACACGACGCAGAGAGCCCCCCTCTACCTAACATGATACAGAGGGCCCCCCTCTACCTAACACGACTTGGAGAACTCCTCCTCTTCCAAGGGCCCTACAGGAACCAGGACAAGGAACATTCTCATCAACTCACTCCGAGGGGGCACCAGGATCTTGCTGTTGATGGCACACCAGCCAATGGGGTGGACATCCACAGTTCCCAGGTTGCACCAGAAGTCATGGCTGGTGTCATTTTCAAAGCCTTCATACCGGAGCAGCACTCGATACCCTGAAAGGGGAAAAAAAAAAAAAAGGGCAAAAAGGGGAAGGATGGGATGGGGAAAGGTATATTCTTAGGTCCTCTCTCTTCTCTAGCCTAAGCCAGAGTTCCTGCTGCCTATTTTAAGAACTCTGTACAGGCAAACAGGGTCCCTGTTGTCCACAATAGTCAGCCAAAATAAACTCAGCCCACTTATTTGGAAAGCATTTTGACTTGGTGCTGAGAATTAATTTTCTGTAGCCTGATCATCCCTGGAGTAAACTTAAAAAATTAGAATTTCCAAACTTGCCAAGCTCCTTGGTCCCCTCTAAAGTAGGAGAATCCCAAGAAGGGGGGCAGAAACTTCATTGGGTATATTTTTGTTTGTTTTATGAAGCCAATTTCTACCTACAACACTGCCCACCCATCTAGAGGTGTCACTCTAGACAAATCCATGCCCCTGCCACAGGAACACCCACCTGCTGCCTGGATGACAGAGGCGATCCAGTACACCCGGCTGGGGAGCACGGCGTCACTGTTGAGCACCTCCACCTTCATGCCCTTCATCACATCCTCCCACTGGTCATAGAGGGGGACCTGTGTGGTGATGAGAACATTCGAGGGGGAATGAGCTGCCTCATGGACTGAATCATTGAGTCCTTCTTCTGCACCTCAGCTTTTCACATCACCCACTGTGTGCAGAAAGCCAGTCCTGGTACTAGGGATGAAGAGATGAATAGGACATGTCTGCTGTCCTTGAAGAGCTGAGCCAAGAAGTTGGGGTGATGGTGGGCAGAGCAGTGATTTAGAGACCCAGAGTCAGAAAGACCAGGGTTCTAGTCTTTGTAGGACCAGCTCCTAACTGTGTCACCTTGGGCATGTTACATCTTGTTCAATCTCAATCCTTTTGTGGCTGTGCCAGCCCATACAACAGTAACACTTTCCAGTGTTTACCATGAGCCAGGCACTGTTCTTGGCATAAATATTAGCTCTTTCAGTCGTCACTCAATCCCAGCTGGTAAGTATTATAACCCCCTCCTTTACACAGAGCTGTCTACCCACCAACTAGCCCTACACATCCTTCTCCATCTCTCCTTCTATTAAATTCTGTGACGCTGCCCCTCCACTGGGCTGCTTTTGGTTGCCTTCCCAATACCTAATCCTCACTTTGCTGCCAACAGTACCTTGATTCTCCTTTGGGGAAAGTCATCTTTTTTCATTCTCAGCCCTGGCTTAAGCTGGTTGGATACCCCATTCCATCTCCCTGATCAGAGATTGGTTCCTCACACAACCTGGAAACAGTCATGCTAGCCCAGGCACACAGGGGCAGGCTTCTTACAGAGCACACTGAGTCATATGTGTTACATGCAAGTCCTTCCCCTGGAATGAAAATGCTGGGACTTCTAGAAAATTCTGGACAAAAGAGGATTCCCCCACTAGGAAGGATGATCACCTTCATTAGCAATTCAGAGAGGAAAGGAGTTAGCCAAGTCTAATACCAAGTTGTCATTGTTTAGAGCTCAGTAGCAGTTCAGAAAGGAGGCTAGGAAGTGGGTTAAAAGACTACTTCAAGGGCCGGCCAGTGGCTCACTCGGGAGAGTGTG